TGGGGGTGTATGGGGGGGCTGAGCCCTTTGGGAAGGGGGTCCTGGGGAGGAGGGGGGCACATTGTTGGGGTGGGGGATATGACTGAGCCCCGTTTAGGGGCGCAGGACCCCCCCACCCTCCTGAAAGGGGTGCAGGAGGGCGGTCTGACCCCCCCTGACCGTGCCCCCTCCCCACAGGATGGCCGAGGGGAGCTCTGGCAGCTCCGGCTCCCCCGGCAGCCTCCGCCCGGGGGGCTCGGGGGTCCCGGGGGCTCGGGGGGTGCTGGGCAGACGTCCTGCTGCCCCCCCCCTCACCCCGGGCCGCCTGCCCTCCATCCGCTCCCGGGACCTCACCCTGGGGGGTGTCAAGAAGGTGAGTTCCCCCCACACACCTCCCCAAATCGGGGTCTCACTTTGTGCCCTTCCCCTGGAGGGGGTTTGGGGACCCCTGGGTGGAGGGATTTGGGGTGCAGGGGGGGGCTGTTTTATGTGACTTGTCCCTCCCCCTGCTCTGTCTCCTGCAGAAAACCTTCACCCCCAACATAATCAGCAGGAAGATCAAGGAGGAGTGAGTGGCCCGGAAAGCGTTTTTGGGGGCAATGGGGGTGGATTGGGAGGGGGGGTCCACCCTTGGGCAAAACGGGGGGCACAAGGATGGTTTGGGGTCTGGAGCATCTCCCTGATGAGAGACTGTGGGACCTGGGCCTGGTTAGTCGGGAGAGGGAAGTGAGAGGGGATCTCATCAATCCGTAGAAATATCTCAAATATCCATAGAAATATCTCTAATATCCATAGAAATATCCATAGAAATATCTCAAATATCCATACAAATATCCATACAAATGTCTCATCTGAGGGGGGATCCCATCAACCATATCAGTATCTCCAAGGGGTGTCAGAGGATGGTCCCAGACTCTTCCCAGTGACAGGACAAGGAGGGATGCCCATAAACTGAAGCACCACAAGTTCCACCTCAACAGGAGGCAGAACTTCTCTCCGTGGAGCTGCCCAGGGAGGATGTGGAGTCTCCCCTCTCTGGAGACATCCCAAACCCACCTGGACGTGTCCCTGTGTCACCTGGGCAGGGGGGTTGGGGTGGGTGATCTCCAGAGGGCCCTCCCAAAATAAAAAACCGTGCCCTGGGACGGGGTGCAGGGGCAGGGATGGGGGTGACGTGCTCCCTCCCCGCTCCACAGGCCCCGGGAGGATGTTTCTGTCAAGAAGGAGAAGAAGGAGCGGGACCGGCAGCGGGACGGGCACGGCCGGGGCCGGGGCCGGCCCGAGGTCATCCAGTCCCACTCCATCTTCGAGCAGGGACCTGCTGAGATGATGAAGAAGAAGGGTAAGGGGAGCTGCCCCCACTCTTTTGGGGGGTCTGGGGGTGTGCCAGGGGGTCACCCAGGGCTGCTCCCCTCTCCCAGCAGGCTCCTGGGACAAGGCCGTGGACGTGTCCGACTTCGGCCCTTCCCACATCATCAACATCAAGAAGGAGAAGAGGGAGACGGACGAGGAGACGAAGCAGATCCTGCGGATGCTGCAGAAGGACGACGTGCGTGGGCGCGGAGGGGGCGGCCGTGGTGCCCCCCCAGGCTGGCACTGAGTGTCCCCACTGCCATTCCCGCAGTTCCTGGACGACCCGGGGCTGAAGAACGACATCAGGAACAAGCCGGTGCAGCTCCCGCTGGCCCACTCGGGGTGGCTCTTCAAGGAGGAGGGGGCAGAGCAGGAGGACCCCCAGCCGTGGCTCCCGGGATCCAAGGAGGAGAAGATGGAGCTGGACCCACCAGCAGTGAAAGGTGGGCTGGGACCAGGGGGACACGCAGTGGGGACGGGCTGGGGGAGCCCCCCATTGCCCCCCGTGCCCACCCACCCCCTCTGCAGTGAAAGAGGAGCCGTGTGAGGAGGAGCCCAAGGTGTCCCAGCCCAAGGGCCCGCCCGGATTCCCGCGGGACGTGCCGGTGGCGGAGCTGCTGCAGAGGCTGAGCCTGCAGGCCGAGGAGGAGCTGCTGTTCCTGCAGCTGCCCGACACCCTGCCCGGGCAGCCCCCCACCCACGACTCCAAACCCATCAAATCCGAGCTGCACAACGAGGACGGGCAGGTGGTGGTGGTGAAGCAGGAGAAGAGCCAGGTGGGGGCTCGGCGAGGGAGGGGTGGGATGGAGGTGATGTGTCCCCCCAATCCCATGGTGTTGTCCCTCCATCCCCTGGTGATCTCATCCCATGAGGATGCCCCCCATCCCTTTGTGGTGTCCTTCCCTCTCATGGTGTTGTTGTCCCCCCCCATCCTGAGGTGTCATTTCCCCTCCAATCAATGGTGTCATTCTCCTTCATCCCATGGTGACTTCCCTCCCATCCCGTGGTGTCATTATCCCCACCCTGGTGTCCTTTCCCCCTCCATCCTGTGGTGTCCTTTCTTCCCCATCCCATGATGATGTCACTCCATCCTGTGTTGTCATCTCCCCCCATCCCATGGTGCTCTTTTCCCCTCATCCCACGCTGTTGTTCCTCCATCCCATGGTGGCATCCTCCCCATCCCATGGTGTCATCTCCTCCAATTCCCTGGTGTCCTTTCTCCCCCAGTCCCGTGCTGCTGTTCCTCCATCCCATGGTGCCATTACATCCCCCCATCCCACGCTGTCCTTTCCCCTCCAATCCCGTGCTGTCCCCCCATCCCATGGGGACATCCCCCCTGTCCTGTGGTGCCATTCCCCCATATTCCAAGCTGTCCTTTCCCGTGGTGGCCATGCCAGGAGGCGAAGCAGGCGGAGAACACGTGCACCCTGGCCGACCTCCCCGAGGGGCAGGTGGGGAAGCTGCTCATCCGAAAGTCGGGGAAGGTGCAGCTGGTGCTGGGCAAGGTGACCCTGGACGTGACCATGGGCACCCCCTGCTCCTTCCTACAGGTATGGGGGGCACCCCCTGCTCCTTCCTACAGGTATGGGGGGCACCCTGTTTGGTGCCCTGGGGAGGGTTATGCTGCCTCTCCCTGTGACAGCAGTGGGGAAGGGTCCTGCTAGTCCCCTCTGGGGACACCTCTAGGCTCTTCCCCTTTCAGCAGAGACCCCCTCACCCTTCTCCCAGGGGATTCCCATGGGACTGGGCCGCTCAGGGGTGTCTCTCCCCTCTGGGACAGGAGCTGGTGTCCGTCGGCATCGGGGACAACCGGACGGGCGAGATGATCGTCCTGGGCCACGTGAGGCACAAGCTGGTGTGTTCCCCGGATTTCGAGGCTCTCCTGGAGCACAGGCACCGGTAGCCGAGGGATTCTCAGCCCCCCTGGCCCGTGGGGACAGTCCCTGCACACCCTCAGCCCCCCCCAGATGTGCCTTTGGGGTGTGGGGAGGGGGTCTTGTGCAGCTCCGACCTCCTCCCAGCCCCGTGGGGGGTCAGGGGTGTCCCCCCAGAGCTGCTGCTTCCACCCCCTCTGTGCCAAAAGGGGGTTTTTGGGCGTGTGGGACAGTGGGGTGTCCCCCCCCAGCTCCCTGGTGGCTGTGGATGCTCTGGTGGGGGCGGGACACATGTCAAGGGGGGAGGAACATGCAATAAAACATGGAATAAAACATGGAATAAAACGTCTTTTCCCCCTGTGTGGAGCTGCTCACGTTTGTTCTGCCACCTCTGCTGGGCAGGGGGGTGGGACCCCCCGTGCTCCCACCCCATCCCACCTTAACCCCCACCCATTTTACCCCCCCAATTCCATCTTATCCCCCTCATACCCTATCCATTTTACCCCCATCCCATCCCATCCCATCCCATCCCATCCCATCCCATCCCATCTGTCCCATCCCATTTTACCCCCCAATTCTGTATCACCCCCTTTCCCATCCCATCCCATCCCATCCCATCCCATTTTACCCCCCAATTCCATATTATCCTATCCCATCCCACCCTCCCTTCCGCCTCTCTGGCCACGCCCCTCCCTCACTGGCCCCGCCCCCTCATCGCATGACAACGCTCCTCCTGCCTGGCAACGCCCCTTCCCCTTGGCTCCGCCCACAATCCCATGACTCCGCCCCCTCCTTATGCCCCGCCCCCGCTGCCACCCAATCAGCGGCGCGTCCGCTCCGGGGTGGGCGGGGCGTTCCCGCGCGCGCGTGAGGGGCGCGCCCGGACAGGGCGGGAGCGGGAGCGGGCAGAGGAGCGGGCACGGGAGCGGGCACGGCCATGGGCCCCCCGCACCCCTCCCGCGGGCCCGGGCCCTGCCCGGCCCCCGCCGCCCTCCCCGGCCCCTCGGCCCTCCCCGGCCGGGCGCGGGGGCTCCGCGGCATCGCGGCCTTCGCCCAGCGCCCCTCTGTGCCCGCCGCCGCCTCCCCCGCCGCGACGTCGCCGCTCCCGGCGCTGTTCCGCGGGCTGGGCTTGGACGAGCGGCCCCGCGAGCGGCCCCTGGGTAGGGAGCGGGGATGAGGGGAGTGTGGAGGGGGTTTAGGAGCTGCCCACCCCCCCCTTTCCCTTCCCCAGCCCACTGTGCCCGCTCGTCCCGCAGGTCGTGGCGGCGCTGGCGATGGGAAGGCTCTGGCGCAGCCCAGCCCGGCACGGGACAAGGAGGAGGAGAAGGAAAAGGGGGCAGCGCTGGTGGCGCTCCCCACGCGCGGGCAGTGAGTCCCCCCCGGCACCCCAAACCCCTAAAACCTCAATACCCACCTTCTCCTGGACTCCCTCCACCTCCCTCTATCCCTTTGTCCCCCTCTGTCTTCCCTATCCCCTCTGGCCCCTTCTATCTTCCAGCCCCACCGTCCCCTCTGTCCCTTCTATCCCCCCATTGCCTTATCCCTTCCATCCCCCCATACTCTTATTCCCTTATTTCCCCATCTCCCCCATCCATTCTGTCCCCTCATTCCCTTGTCCTCCCCTATCCCTCATCCCCTTTATCTCCCCTATTCCCTTATGACCTTTATTCCCTCTCTGCCCCCTGCCCATCCCATCACCACTATCCCTTTATCCCCCCTATTCCCTCATCCTTTCTGTCCCCTTTATCCTCCTGTGTTCCCCTGTTCCCCTTTATCCCCCCTCCCGCCCTTTCCCTGAGCCCTTCCAGTGGCTCCATCACCCACCCTGGTGACAAGGGCTGGGGGACCCTCTACCAGTGACACCCCTGGCATGATCACACCCCTTCCTGCCCCATTGCCAGGGCCACTTCTTGTGTTTTGTCCCCAAAACCGGGTCTTTTGAGCCACCCCCCGCTCAGACTGGTGTGGGGCAGGAGTAGGGGGGAATTTTGGGGGACACCTGGGCACCCCCAGCGTGTCCCCAGCGTGCCAGGGCTCACCCCTGCCCTCCTTGGGGTCGCAGGATCCGATGGCAAGGCCAAGGGGACGCGCCGCCCACCCGCCCTGGAGGAGCCACCACTGTGCCCACCCTGAGCTCACTCGGCCCCCTGCGCCCCCCCAGGAGCCCCCAGCCGTGAGTGATGACCCCAGCCCCGCGTTTTGGGGGGTCCAGGTGCTGCTGGGTCGCCCCTGACCCCATGTCCCTCCCCAGGGTCCCCCCAGGGGTGAAGGGACCCGCTGTCCCCCTGGGGCTGAACTTGGTGAGGATCCACTGCCAGAACGAAGTTGTCTACCAGTACCATGTGACCTTCAGGTACTGGGGGGTTAATGGGGGGCCCCGCAGCCCCTCGGGGGTCCCTCACAGCCCCTCGAGAAGGGGGTGTCCCCAGGCAGAGCCCTCCATGTCCCAAGTGCCACGAGATGGGGCACCCGGCACAGCAATGCAAAGAGCTCTGGGTTTTCCCCCTCAGGGGGGATTCCAGGGGGGCTGAGCAGGGTCTGGGGTGGGGACAGGGGAGGGAGAAAAGCCCCTGTGTGTCCCCAGCCCCGAGGTGGAGTGCAGGAGCACTCGCTTTGCCATGCTGAAGGAGCAGCACGCTGTCACTGGGGACGTGTTGGCCTTCGACGGCTCCATCCTCTTCCTGCCCATCCAGATTCCCAAGGTAAGGGGGGGCTTGTCTTAGCCCAGGTGCCCCCCCCAGGCCTCCAGCCCTTGTTTTGGGTGGGAGAACCCCCCCCCCCCTCTTACCCCCCAGGTCAGTGTGAAGGCTCAGAGGAAGAGCAATGGGGAGGAGGTTTGCATCACCATCCAGATGACCAAGGTCCTGGAGGCCAGCTCAGATCTCTGCATCCCCTTTTACAACGTGGTTTTCCGGAGGTGGGAGACCAAGGAGACCCTCCCTGAGCTCCAGGGAGGAGACCCTCCTCCCCCTCCTGTCTGCCAAGCCTGACCCAGTCCTACTTTTCCTGCTTTTCCTTCCTCAGGGTGATGAAAATCCTAAACATGAGCCTGGTTGGGAGACATTTCTTTGAGCCTGCCCAGGCCACCACCTTGCATAAACACAGGTGGGTGCCAGGGACATCCCTGTTTCTCCAGCAGCCTGGAAATTGGGAAGTTTTCCCGGGTCAGCTCTGGCTGGCCTGACCTCAGAGAGGCTGTTTTCCAAAGCTGGGAGCTGGGAAACAAATCCCTGTGCGTTTTGGGTGTTCCTTGGCTCCTGGGACAGTGGGACAGCTCTGGGCTAACCCAGGCGCCGTTGGGCATCTTTCCCTGTGGACACAGCCTCCAAATTTGGCCGGGATACGCCGTCAGCATCCGGAAGAAGGACGGCGGGCTCTTCCTCATGGTGGATTCCATCCACAAAATCATCCGCAGCGAGTCCGTCCTGAGCGTGATGTGAGAGGAGCGGGAAAGAATCCCGGGAGGCTTCAGGGATGGGGAGGGGGTGGTTTATTTTTGGGATGGCACGGGCAGGCAGCGTTCCATGGGCTGTCTCTCCTCATTTGCCAGGCAAACAATCCACTCCCAGAGCCAGAAGACGTTCCAGGACGAGTGCACCAAGGAGCTGGTGGGCAGCGTGGTCATCACCCGCTACAACAACCGCACCTACCGGGTCGACGACATCGACTGGGACAAGACCCCCAGGGACACTTTCACCCTGGCCAGCGGGGAGGAAATCACCTTTGTGGAGTACTACAGGTAAGGATGGATCATCCCTCGGGATTGGGAAGGGCTCGGTGCCCGCTGTTGGGTGAGCAGGAGCAGGAAGGTCTTGCCCGATGCTGTGTCCCCCTGCCCACGGCAGGGGGTTGGAGCTGGGTGGTTTCTAAGGTCCCTTCCAACCCAAACCATTCCAGGATTTTGTAATTATGCTGTTTGTTTGGTTTTTTTTCCCAGCAAAGCCTATGGGATCACCATCAGGGATCTGGACCAGCCGCTGCTCATCCACAGGCCCAAGGAAAAACAGACAATGTACAGGGAGGTGAGCCAGGCACGGAGAAATGGGGATCCATGATCTGTCCTGGGCTCCTGGGGAGGGCAGGGACTCCCAGCCCCTGGAATGCTGAGGGTGCCTGTCCCCTCTGCAGCGTCAGCTGGACATGGTGGTGCTGGTGCCAGAGCTCACCTTCCTGACCGGGCTGTCCGACCTGCAGAAGAACAGCCGGACGCTGAAGGTGAGAGCCTGTTCCATCCCACCATCCCTGCTTTTCCTGAGCTGGCAGTGCCCGCTTTGGGGAGCTGCTGGGGGGTATCTCCAAGCCCCCCATCACTCCTGGGGGCTGCCCCTGCAGGAGGTGATGTGGGAGATGATGCAGAGCCCCCAGCAGCACCACCTGCGCCTCACCAACCTCCTGCGCCAGATCCGCGACAGCCCGGAGGCCTCCCAGGAGCTGGAACGCTGGGGGCTGCACCTGGACACGGATATCTGCAGGGTAAGGCTCTCAGGGGGTGCCAGGCTCCCTACCTTCCCCCCTGGGAATGGGGGCAGCCCTGGATTCCTGCTCTGTCCAGACCCAGGGTCACATCCTGCCCTCGGAGCGGATCAACCTCCGGCACCGCTCCTTCTTCCCCGAGGAGGACCTGAGCTGGCACAGGGAGGTGACCAAGGAGGTGTCCATCTCGGCGGTGAGCCCACCACGGGAACAGCCTCCCCTTGTCTGGGAGCTGGCCTGGGTTTTCCTAAGCGCTGGCATTCCGGCTGAGCTGCCTCCAGCTCAAACCCTTCCCTTGTTTATGTTGGATTTGAGCTTCAGCCTGTTTTTCCGAAGGAGCTGGAGGTATGTGGTGGGTGGTGTCTGCTTTCCCGCCTCCTCCCGGGCTGGAGGAAGGCTTTCAGATGCAGGAATTCCATGCTGTGTGCTCCTGAGGTTCCTCTTGGGCTGCTTTCCCTCTCCCAAATTCCCCTCTGTCGCCCAGGTTCCACTTTCCTGAATTCCCCTCTATGCTCCAGGTTCCTCTTCAGCCACTTTCCTCTCTCAGATTCCTCTCTCCCAAATTCCCCTCTGTGCTCCTGGTTCCTCTTGGGCCACTTTCCCTGTCCTGAACTTCCCTCTGTGCTCCTTAGGTGTCTCCTCTCCCAAGTGGAAATGTGCTTCAGGTTCCTCTTGGGCCACTTACCTTTCCCAAATTCCCCTCTGTGCTCTAGGTTCCTCTTTGGCCACTTTCCTCTCTCAGATTTCTCTCTCCCAAATTCCCCTCTGTGTTCCAGGTTCCTCTTTGGCCACTTTCCTCTCTAAAATTCCTCTCTCCCAAATTCCCCTCTGTGCTTCCCAAGTTCCTCTTGGGCCATTTTCCCTCTCCCAGATTCCCCTCTGTGCTCCAGGTTCCTCTTGGGCCACTTTCCTCTCTCAGATTCCTCTCTCCCAAATTCCCCTCTGTACTCCAGGTTCCTCTTGGGCTGCTTTCCTTTCCCAAATTCCCCTCTGTGCTTCCCAAGTTCCTCTTGGGCCACTTTCCCTCTCCCAGATTCCCCTCTGTGCTCCCTAGGTTCCTCCTCTCCCAAGTGGAAATGTGCTGCATGTCCCTCTTGGGCTGCTTTCCCTCTCCCAAATCCCCCTCTGTGCTCCATGTCCCTCTGGGGCCACTTCCCCTCTCCCAGATGGGAATGTGCTGCAGGGCTTGGGAGCTGCACGACCGGGCGGGAACACGCCCCAAACACGGCCTGTCCTCGCTTCTCTTCCCAGATCTCCATAAATTCCTGGCTCCTGGTTTATCCCAAGCGGCTGCAGCAGGTGGCCCAGGACCTGGTGGCAGCCGTGAGGAGCGCCTGTGGAGCCATGGGAATGCAGGTGGGACAGCCCACGGTGCAGGAGCTGCGGGACGAGCGCATCGAGTCCTACGTCAGGAGCATCCGGAGCGGTTTGGGAAGCCAGGTGGGGAGGGGGGACGTTCCCAGGGGATCACCAGACAGGTGGGAGCACAGCTGGGATGGGAGCACCTGGAAGGGCTCAGCCTGGAGGAAAGGAGGCTCAGGAGGGACTTTATTGCTCCCTAAAACTCCCTGACAGGAGGGGGGAGCTGGGGGGGGCCGTCAGGCTCTGCTCCCAGGGAACAGGGGACAGGGGAGGCTCAGGTTGGACATCAGCAGGAATTTCCTCATGGAAAGGGCTGTCAGGTATTGGAAGGGGCTGCCCAGGGAGGTGGTGGAGTCCCCACCCCTGTAGGTGTCCAAAAACCACGTGGGAACACGGGTTAGTGGTGGCGGCCTTAGGATTTGACTCGGTGACCTCGGAGGGCTTTTCCAACCCGCACAATTCCACGATTCCCGGCAGGAAAAGGTGCAGCTGCTCGTGTGCATCACCCCCCGCAACAGGGACGACGTGTACGGGGCCATCAAGAAGCTGTGCTGTGTCCAGGCCCCTGTGCCCTCCCAGGTAGGCCCAGCAGGGTGGGATCACCATTCCCGGGAAGCTCCAGGTGCTTTTCCAGCCTCACTTTTCCACGTGTTTTCCCGCCCCATAGGTCATCAACGCCCAGTCCCTCATGGGCCATCCCGGCAAGATCAGGAGCGTGGTCCAGAAAGTTCTGCTGCAGATCAACTGCAAGCTGGGCGGGCAGCTCTGGGGGGTTGACATCCCGCTGGTAAGGCAGGAAAACCCCTGGAAAAGGCCTGGGATGAGCTTGGAAGCTCTGAGGGGGTGAATTACTGTAGTCACGGGCTTCCCTCGCCGGCTGGAGAACTGGGGGTTGGATTCTCTTTGGAGCATGAGAGTCCCTCACAGATGGAGGGATCCAAGCCTGGAGGTGTCTTGGCTTATCCCTAAATCCCACCTGGCTGGTTTTTTCCTCCCCTTTCTCAGAAACAGCTGATGGTTGTTGGGATGGACGTGCACCACAGCCGCAGCCAAGGGATGCGCTCTGTCATCGGCTTCGTGGCCAGTATGAACCAGTACGTGGGGTCCTGGGAGGGGGGAAGGTGTTCCTCCAGCTCTGCCCTCGGAATCTTGCAGGATTCCACCCCGAAATCCCCTTCCTTGGACGGGAAGGGGGGGCGAGGGTGATGCTTTTCCCGACCCTCAAGGTCTTCGCCGGCGCGTTTGTGCTGGGAATCGCTGGGAAAAGGGCTGGGAATGCTGAGTTGGTGGACTTTGCCTGGTGACAGTCTGGGGGGGTTTTTCCTGATGCTCGTTCCCATTCCATCCCCAGCATCCTCACCAAGTGGTATTCCAGGGTGGTCTTCCAGATGCCCCACCAGGAGATCGCCGACAGCCTCCGGCTCTGCCTCTCCCAAGCCCTCCAGCGCTTCTACGAGGTGAGGCCAACAACAAAAAAAAACCCCTCCCACGGTTTGATATTCCCTCAAAACAAGGGGAAAACACCCCGAAACAGCCGCTCTGGAGCTGGCAAAGCTCCCCAGCAGCCTTTGGACTGGATGTGGAGCCGGGACAGCTCATCCTTATCTCGGGAACGTGCGAACCCGGCCCCGGGGATTAGTTTGCACAGAGGGAAGTGCCACGTTCCACCCCTGTCAGCACTGAAGGGCTCAGCCCTGGCCCTCGTCCCACAGCGTGAGAAAAACAGCCCGGGACAAGGGCCAGGAGAAATCCCAGCACTTGGGATTTGCCCGGAGAAGCTGTGGCTGCCCCATCCCTGGAAGTGTCCCAGGCTGGGTTGGAGAATCCTGGGATAGTGGGAGGTGTCCCTGCCCGTGGAACTGGATGATTTTAAGGTCCCTTCCAACCCAGAGCATCCCAGGATTCTGTGATCCTGTTTTCCCAGCCCTCTGTGGGTGCTGGAGGAACAGCCCTGGGCACTGGGGGTTTGCTGGGCAGGAGGACCAGGACACAGGGAATGGCTTCCCACTGCCAGAGGGCAGGGTTAGGTGGGATATTGGGAAGGAATTCCTGGCTCTGAGGGTGGGGAGGCCCTGGGATGGAATTCCCAGAGAAGCTGTGGCTGCCCCTGGATCCCTGGAAGTGTCCAAGGCCAGCTTGGAGCAAATTGGGCTAGTAGGAGGTGTCCCTGCCCACGGAACTGGATGATTTTAAGGTCTCTTCCCACCCAGACCATTCTGGAATTCTGTGATCAGCACAAACACAGTCTGTGCCCCCCCCCCAGCCCTCCCAAACCCCCACTCTGAGCTGCATTTTGGGGGGGAGCTGAGCCTGGTCAGGGGCTCTGCGGGCGGTGAGTTGGGTCCTGACCTCCATCCCTGGAGACTCAGCGAGCATCTCCTGGCCAGGGAATGTTTTCCCACCAATCCTGTGCATATTGGGGGTGAAAAAACAGTGAATTCTCCCCGTTTTTACCTCCTCACACCCAGCTGAACCACTCGCTGCCCATGAAGATCGTGGTGTATCGGGACGGGGTGTCCGACCCCCAGCTCGACACGGTGCTCAAATATGAGGTGCCCCAGATGCAGAAGAGCTTCAACACCTTTGAGAACTACCAGCCCAGCCTGGTGGTCGTGGTGGTGCAGAAGCAAATCAGCACCAACTTCTACAGCCTGACGGGAGAGGAGTTCACGTCCCCCCCGCCCGGCACCGTCCTCGACCACACCATCACCACCTCGGGCTGGTGAGTGGCACCTCCAGGGCTGGGGGAGGTGAAAAAACACCCTGGGAAGGGAGAAAAAAACCCCACCCTGGGGTGTTAAAAAATTCCAGGGCTTGAAAAAATGGTGAAAATCACCCCTGGGAGCAAAAAAATGGTGGTAGAAAAAAACTCAGGGTGCAAAAAAACCACCCTGAGGGGTGAAATAACCAACCCTGGGGTATAAAAAAAATCATTGTAGATGCCCCAGGGTGCAAAGAAATGGTTGCAAAATCGCCCCAGGGTGCAAAAAAACCACCCTGGGGTGCAAAAAATCGGTGTTAAAACACCCCAGGGTGCAAACAAATGGCTGTAAGATCACCCCAGGGTGCAAAAAAAAAACCACGCTGGGGTGTGAAATAACCAGCCCTGGGGTATAAAAAAATCATTGTGGACACCCCAGGGTGCAAAAAAATGGTTGTAAAATCACCCCGGGGTGCAAAAAAAATCCCTGAGTGCAAAAAATTAGTGCAAAACACCCCAGAGTGCAAAAAAAGCCAAAAAAAAAAAAGTCTGTTAAATCACCCCAGGGTGCCAAAAAAACCACCCCAGGAGTGTAAAAAATGGTGGCAAAACCACCCCAGAACGCAAAAAACGAGGTGTAAAACCACCCTGGGGCACGAAAAAAAGACACTGCAGGGGGGAAAAAGTAAAAAAAAAATGAAATTGAGGTTTAAAAAGCCCTTTTTACACCCTCAGGAAGGATTTCTTCCTGCTGGCCCACAGCTCCCGGCAGGGCTGCAGCATTCCCACCCGCTACATCTGCATGTGGAACACGGCCAACCTGAGCCAGGAGCACCTCCAGAGGTGAGGGCAGGGGTCCAGAGCTCCCCAAAATCCCCCAGAGGGCAGGGCAGGGGTCCCAGAGCCCTCTGAGCACTTCCAGAGATAAGGGAAGGGCCCAGAGACCCCCCCCCAAAATCCTCCAGAGGGAAGGGCAGGGGGCCTGGAGTTCCCTGAGATCCTTCAGCCCCCTCCCAAAATCCTGAAGGGATAAGGGCAGGGAGTCCAGAGGTCCTCAAAGTTCCTGCAGGGATAAGGGCAGGGGTCCCAGAGCTCCCCAAAATCCCTCAGAGGGGGTCCCAGAGCCTTCTGACCACTTCCAGAGGTAAGGGAAGGGTCCAGAGCTCCCCAAAATCCCCCAGAGGGAAGGGCAGGGGTCCCAGAGCCCTCTGAGCACTTCCAGAGGTAAGGGAAGGACCCAGAGACCCCCAAAATCCCCCAGAGGGAAGGGCAGAGGCTCCTCAAAATCCTCCCCAGAGCTCTCCAAGCACCTCTGGAGGGAAGGGCAGGGGTCCCAGAGCCCCCCAAGACCCTACAGCTCCCCTTAAAATCTGCAGAGGTAAGGGAGGGGGTTTGGAGTCCCCCCTTATCCTACAGACCCCCTAAAGTCCTGCAGAGGGAAGGGAGGGGGGTTGGAGTCCCCCCTTATCCTACAGACCCCCTAAAGTCCTGCAGAGGGAAGGGCAGCTTTCCTGGAAACCCCCCAATATCCTGCAGCCCCCCAGTGTCCTGCAGAGGGAAGAGCAGTCTTGTTTCAGTGTGAGGGCCCCCCAAAATTCAGGGGTTTTTGGGTCAATCAGCCCCCTGGAGCGGGCAGGGGGGGCTGTGCAGGCACTGGGCTGAACCTGCTGGGTTCACTGGGTGAACTGGGAGGACATGGATGAGGCAGAGGAGGCGGATCCCATCCCATCCCTCTGATGGCAGAGGTGACAGAGGACACTGTGTCACCCCGGGGTGGCCCAACCTTTGCCTCCTCCTCCTCCAAGAGGGGAAGAAACACCCGGGTGGGAGCAGGTTTGGCCTCAGGGAGAGAATCCATCCCTCTGTGAATCACCAATCCCCCTTTTTTCTCCCTATCTGTCCCCAGGCTGACCTTCAAGCTGTGCCACCTCTACTGGAACTGGCCTGGCACCATCCGTGTCCCAGCTCCCTGTAAATATGCCCACAAGCTGGCATTCCTGGTGGGGCAGGTGCTGCACCACGAGCCCAGCGCCCACCTGAGCGAGCAGCTCTTCTTCCTCTAGTGTTGCCAGGGGCAGGAAAACCGGGATTGGGCCGGGAATTCTGCTCCCCAGCCGCCAGCGTGGGGGAATCTTCCTTAATTCCCTGTTTTGTTGTTAATTTATTCCCGTTATTTATTGGTTTTTAAGGGTTGCAGTGTCGGTTTAAAGGACACTGGGGAGCGTCCCAGGGCTGGGTTTATCCCCATGGGGATGAATCCAAAGGAATATCCCCCTGTTTTCCAGTCCTCCCAGTAAAGGGGGTTGAGTTAACGAGCCCCAGAGGTGCTGCTGCTCTCACAGTTCTTCCCTGTGCAGGTGCTGATATAAACCCCAAAGATCTGGGGTTTTTTTTTCTTGCATTTCCAGGGAGGTTTCAAGTTTTTCCTGGGTTTTTTTGTCTTTTTTCCAAGGTGCTGTTGAACAAACCAGCCCCAGGTTTGGCTGGTTCTCCCGTCCTTGAGGAGTCACTGGTTTCTCAAGGAGAATTCTCTGTGCATTCAGGTTGTTGTCCCAAGGGGAAAGTTTTTGAGTTCTTACCTTTTTCAGGTGGGGGGGTTTTTTTGCTTTAGTCAGGAGATGTTTGAGACCTTCGAGCCTGGGGCTGTGAGACCACAAAAAACAGCCTAAAACACCTCAAAAGACATGGATTTTGCCTCAAACCCCTCCTGTGCATCCCCAGCAGGGATGGGGGGCCAGCAGGACCCTCCCCCCAGCCTCTCCCCTCCGTTTTAATGCCAAAAAAGTTGGAATTCCTCTATTTTTTTGCCTTTGCTGTGACCAGTTTTTGGTTCTTTTCAATAAAACTGTTGCTGGCAGCTGCTCCTTCTTGGAGTGGGGGGGTGGGTGACAGGGGTGGGTCATTCCCCCTCATTCCCAGGGATGGAGAGGGGACACAGAGAGGGTGTGGGGGGGTCACAGCAGTGCTGTCACCCTGTGCCCCTGGTTAATCATTGATCCCTTTATCCCTGTTTATTTGCTGGTCCAGGCGGACTTTGGCAGCCCTGGCCCAGCCTGGGTTGGGATTTGGGAGCAAAACTTGGCTCGTGGAGGGGGGCTGGGGGTGCTGGGACAAAGTGGAGGTGCAGGATGGGGGGTCCCTGCTCTTCCTGGCCCCTCACCAGCAGCTTTTTATACCCCAGCACTGCCTCGTCCCTGCCCTTGCTGGCTCCTTGGCACAGGGAGAGGAGCCAGGACCAGCCCTGGCTGCCAGGCTGGCAGAATTTGTCCCCCCCCCAAATCCCCCCAGCCCTTCCAAGGGGGTCCCTGGGGTGCCCTGTCCCCTGGGGAAGGGGCTGAGGGGTGTCCTGTGTCCCTAAAGGGTGTTTGGGGGTGGTCTGAGGGATGTTCCATAACCCCAAGGGTTATAGAACCCCCCCTGTGCCCCTGAGGGTTGTTTTGGGGGGGTCCTTGGGGTGCCCTGTGCCCTCAAGGGTTGTTTTGGGGGGGTCCTTGGGGTGCCCTGTGCCACGGAAGGGACATTTATGGGGGTCCATGTGGTGCCTTGTGCCCCCGGGGTGGGTTTTTGGGTGGTCTTCAGGTGGTTTTGGGGGGTCCTGGGGTGGGTTTTAGGGGGTTTTTAGGTGGTTCTTGCGTGGTTTTGGGGGTCCTCGTCCCCTCAAATTTTTTTTTTGGAGGATGGGTGATTTTTAGGGATCCTGGTCCCCCCAGGTGTGTTTTTGGGTGTTTTTTGGGGGGGCCAGGTGTGTTTTTGGGAGGTTTTTGGGTGGTTCTGTGGGAGTTTTGGGGGGTCCCGGCTGTGGTTTTAGGTGTTTTTGGGGTGTTTTGGGAGGTCCCCAGTGTGGGTTTGGGGTGTTTTAGGGGGTCCCAGGTGTGTTATTGGGTGTTTTGGGGGGTCCCGGGTATGTTTTTGGGTGGTTTTTGGGGTGTTTTTGGGAGTCTTGGGTGTTGTTTTGGGGGGGTTTGGGAGGTCCCCGGTGGGGGTTTGGGTTTTTTTGGGGTGTTTTAGGGGGTTCCAGGTGTGTTATTGGGTTTTGGGGGGTGTTTTTGGGGGTCCCGGGTGTGGTTTTGGGTGTTTTTGGGGGTCCCGGGTGTGGTTTTGAGTGGTTTTGGGAGAGGGGTTTTGGGGTGTTTTAGTGGGTTCCAGGTGTGTTATTGGGGTTTTTTTGGGGGGTTTTGGGGGGTCCCGGGTGTGGTTTTGGGTGTTTTGGGGGGTCCCGGGTGGTTTTAGGGGGGTCCCGGGTGTGTTTTTGGGTGGTTTTGGGGGTGGTTTTGGAATCCCGGGTATGGTTTTGGGTGGTTTTGGGGATCCCAGGTGTAGTTTTAGGTGTTTTGGGGGGTCCCGGATGTGTTTTGGGGGGTCCCGGATGTGTTTTTGGGGGTCCCGGGTGTGTTTTTGGGGTGGTTTTTGGATGTTTTTTGGGGGGTCCCGTTCTCCCCACAGCAGCCGCGGGGGGGCGTGGCCCTGCCCCGGAGGGGGGCGTGTCCCTTGTCTCCGCCAGCCAATGGGAGCGCTCCCCGTGCCCGCGCGCCGAGCGTGCGCCCTGCGCGGCCCCGCGCGAGCGGCGGCGGGAGCGGGAGCGGGAGCGGAGGTAGGACCGGGATGGGGCCGGGATGCACCGGGATGGACCGCGCCGGGATGGGACGGGGGAACGGTGCGACGGGACGGGGAGACCGCCGCGGGGACGCGGCACCGCGGGGAGCGCGGCGGGGGCGCGGGGGGAGCGCGCTGGGGCCGGCGCCGAGCCCCGGATGGGGATGGGGATGGGGGAGAGGATCCCTGCGGGATGCGGGGAAGGATGCAGGGGAGGCTGCAGGAGAGCGGGGTTGGGGTGTAGGAGCGGGCCTAGGCTTGGAGGCAGCGTGGGGGGGTCGCTTTGGGGCTGCCAGCGGGGTCTGGGGCAGGTGGAGGTGGGGTCTGGGGTGCAGGACGCTGTTATGGGGTGCAGGACCCGATTTTGGGACGCGGGACCCTGCTGTGGGGTCTGGCACCAGCGGTGCAAGCTCTGGGGACGGGCAGGGGGCAAAAGGGCCGGGCATGAGGACTGGGGGGATGGGGCAGTGCCGGGGGGGCAGCAGGAGCAGCTCCAGCACGGGGGGCACTGGGCGGGACTGGGGGGTCCGTGTAGGGTGGGCTGGCCGGGATATTCCCCTGTTTGCTGCCCGCCTGCCCGCCCCGGGGCCTGCGGGGAGGGGTCGCGGGGAGAGGAAAGGACAAGACACTGCCCGGAGGCTCCAGGGAGGGCAGAGGGGGGTCCGTGACTCGGGAAACGTGGCCCCGGGACGTGCCCCAGGGCACGGAAACCCTCCTGGAAGCCGTCCTGGAAACCCTCCTGCCCGCGGGGCACGTGGAGCAGCGTTTGCTCCGGAAGGAGCTCGGCCCCGCCGGCTCCAGGAGCGGGATTCATCCCGGTGGGGTTTTCGGGAGCCCCCAGTGCCCCCCCCTCCCCTTCCAGTCTTGCGCCAGCGAGCGGGATTTCGGGAAGAGCTGGCGCGGGGCTGACGTCGCCGGGGTCATGGCTTTGCCAGCGGTTCTTATTCCCGGCGTCACCTTCCCGCTGGCGGATCGATAACCGCTGGGAAGTGAAGCCCAGGGAGATGGGAAGGATTGGCGTGGCCTTGGGAGCTCTGTTGTGTGCTGTCGTGGCATCGCTCCCGGGCACATCCCTCGCCGGGCGCCCGTCCCTTCCCGTGGCAGCGGTTTGTCCCCGTGCCCCATCCCGGAGGGAGATAAAGTAGGTCAGGCGCTGGCTCCGGGCTCCGGGAGCGGATCCCGGCGGGAGGACGCCCTTGGAGGTAGCGGGCAGGAGGCTGGGACGCTCCGCGGGTGGGGTGGCGAGGGGCCGCGCTCCGGGGTGTTCGCTGCGCACCCCCCCTTTGCCCCGGGATGCGGGGATGGATGGATGGATGGATGGATGGATGGATGGATGGATGTGTTTGGCACCCTCTCGCCTTGCCCTGAGCTCCCCGTGGCTTTCGGGGGGTCGGAGCCCCTCGGGATGTCCCTCTTTGGGCCCTTCCGCAGGGGCGGCTCCTCCACCTCGTTTTTGCCCTAAAACGGAGCGAGCCTGTGCAGCTCCTGCCGCTGCCCGGCTCTGCCTGCGCGGCGCTTCTTGCCTTTCCTTTGGCAGCTGGGGCAGAAGCTGAGGTCCGGTTTTCCACCCTGGGTGTATCCGGCTCAGCCCGGCTTCGGGAGAAACCCCTGGGAGGGATTTTGGCTCCGGCGAGGGCTGCGTGCCTTGGCACGGGCCGGGACAGCCGGTGTGCGGCCCGGCGGGATGGCTCCAGGCGGGATCAGGGATATGGGGAGCACTCGGCTGGCACGGGCAGGGAAGGGCAGCCAGCGTCCCCCGTCCCGGGACATGCGGCCACTGGGGCAGACCTTTGGCACCGTGGGCCGTGTGCCAGCACCTCTGGGAGTCACCAGGATGTCCCATGTAGCCCGGGAGGATCCACCTGGATGGGTGGGTTGGGATAGGGAGGAAGAAGCAGAGGAAGGGTCCGGGCTCGGTGAAGAGGCAGAGGTCCCTTAGGTACCCCCAGTCAGCACCAGCACCCCTCTGGATGAGCTCTCTTCCCATGTTTTGGGAGGAGAGGGGTTAAGCCAAAGCATCTGAGTTAAGCCTTGGCAGGAGGAGGCTAAAACCTCCCCAGAACAAAGCTCACAAGGTGGTGGTAAGCTGGTAAAACCTGTGGGAATGTGGGAGCCTTCGGAGGGGGAGCGGGGTCCTGGATGGGGAGCGGGGTCCTCCCGTGCCCCTTTTCCTCACAATCCTGGCCCCAGGTTATTTTCGGAACAATTGCTTGGCCGGGCTTCAAAAATGTCCTGGGCTCGTTTCTGGAGGAGCCCGGAGCCTGCGAGCTCTCAGCACGGGCTGTGGGGTGTCCCAGGGAGATCCGGGAGCCCCTGGGAAGGGCAGCCAGGAGGCAGGACACACCTGGAGCCCTGCACTGGGATCAGGGTGGCTGCTGCATTTATGGAACCAGCGGACTGTTACTCTCTCCTGATCCTTGTGAACCCCGAGTTCGCCGCCCACCTCTCGGTGCAGTTTTCCCAGGAAGGCAGCCCAGGCCCTGCTCCAGCCTCTCGGGTGCCTCCCACAGTGGACGTGCAGGTCGTGCCTGGCGTGTCGTCCCCCCCCTCACCCCATCTCCCCCAGCCCCTTCCTTTGCACCCCGGGTTTGTGCCACCCCACTTTTATTGATCCCTGGTGCGTATGAAAGGAACAGAGAGGGCAAGGATTGACTCTGGGCAATAAAGGCACCTACAGTTGGAGCCGGGGAAGGAGCCGGTTCATGGTAATTATCCGGGTTAAAATATAACCCTGTGAAAACGCCACCTCTGTCCCCTGGGTTCCCACGTCCTCCGAGCTCCGGCATCCAGGTCCTGGAGGGATTTGTGTCCCGTTCCTGGTGACGCCGAGGGGACCCACGCGTGGCCGGGAGCTGGAGCGTGACTCCTCACGCCACGGAGAGCTGGATTTGGGGCTGGCAGAGGCACAAGCCCTGCCTGCTTCCCACCACCCGCTGCTCTTCCCAAGGTCCCGAGGCGCTGCGGAGCTGGAGAACCCCCGGGAGCCGTGTCCTGGCAGCCCCCCACGGTGAGCAGGGGGTGGCTCAGAGTGGGGGAGAAGCGGGTGGTCCTGTGTACAAGTCCCCCCTCAGGATCTGGGTGCTCTCAACGCTGCATCCCCTTTTCCCTGAGGAAGAAATCTGCCGTCTCCCGTCGGAGCTGTGGGGTGGAGGAGCGGCGGTTGGAGCGCTGGGAACGCCAAAGCCAACAGCAGTGTGTGTTTTGCCTCCCAGCATCCCAGAGGCACCATGATCCCCGGCGCGGGCCCCCGGAGCTGCTGCCTGCTCCTGCTGCTCTGCCTCCTTCCCTGCCCGCGGGTCCGGGCGGGCAGGGACAGCCCGGGAGTCTCCGCAGCCTCCTTCCTGCAGGATCTGCTCCAGCGCTACGGAGAGAGCCAGACCTTGAGCCTGAAGCAGCTCAAGGCCCTGCTGAACCGCCTGGATGTGGGAGTGGGACACGCCAACGTCTCCCAGTCACCGCAGCAGCGCCTGAACCTCTCCCGGGTAGGGCCCCAAAACCTCCCTGCAGGTCCCAAAACCTCCCTGCAGGTCCCAAAACCTCCCTGCGGAGCTGCGGGAGTCTCAAGGCACGTTCCTGTTCCCTTCCCTTCCCCAGTGCTTCAGCTCCGTGGAGCTTTTTGCCATCCACAACCTGAGCGAGGGCTCTGCCGTGGGGCACAGGGAGTTCAAGGAGTTCTGCCCCACCATCCTGCAGCAGCTGGAGTCGGGGGCGTGCGCCTCCGAAAACCTGGAAAATGAGGAAAACGAGCAGACGGAGGAGGGCAGACCCAGCTCGGCTGAAGGTAAGAGGGGAGCTGGAGGGGCACAGGCACTGCCCAGGCCCGGGCATGGAGCTCAGGAGTGATGAGGCACCCCGGGACCTCCAGCACAGGTGGTTCCCGCTCCTGGGAATTCCTTGCCTACAGCAGGCAGGAATCCCCACGGGTTTTCCTCGCTGTGGATTGTGCCGTGGCGTGGTTTCACCGGGATAACCTCTGTGCCTCCGGGATAGCTGGAGGAGGAGGGGACCTTGCCATGAGTCCCTGTGGGTGGGAGGGGGTGGCCTGGCACTTGGAGGGACCCGCTGGCCTCCAGCCACCAGTGGATGCTCAACCAGCTCCCGCGTGTCCCGCTCCTGATGATGCCCATGGTCTTGGATCAGCTGCCCTGAGCCCCACCCTGGGGCTGGCTCAGGAAAGCCTTTTCCAAGTAACCCAATGGCCTCATTCCCACTTTCCCTGCACCAAAAAACCGACGGTTTTGTCGCAGCTGAGACATCCAGAGCACAGGGAGAGACCGTCCGGTGCCGCGTGGCCCGGGAATAGACCCGGAGCCAGCCCTTTCCCGCCCGCCCGGATCCGGGCTCTCCGAGAGCCTCGGTAATGTCCGGCCCCTCTGGTTTCTTCTCGTTCTCCGCAGTGTGGGGCTTTGGTTTTCTCAGTGTGTCCATGATTAACGTGGCCTCCCTGCTCGGAGTCCTCGTCGTGCCGTGCTCCGCCAAGGCCTTTTTCCGCCGGGTCCTCACGTTTTTCATCGCGCTGTCCATCGGCACGCTGCTCTCTAACGCGCTCCTCCAGCTCATCCCAGAGGTGCGGTAGAACGTCCCTGCCCTCTCTCCCGGCTCCGGGGCCCTCTCTGCCTCCAAACCCCGCCGAATCCAGCCGGTCCCTTCCGTCACCCGAGGCTCAGGGCTCGTCTCAGGGGCTTTTCTCGCCCCCTCCGAGCACCAGGAAACCCTCTGGAGCGGGCAGGGAGGCTGTGTCCTCCAGCCCTGCCAGGTCTGAGGAGTGGGAATGGGCTGGGAGAAGCTCTTTGCTCCTGGAGTGGCCAGGAGTTTATCCCTTGGAGGGATGTGCTCAGCCATCAGTCTCCGAGCACTAGTGGGAGAGTACTGTGAAACAGAGGAAATATCCATATAAAAGGAGGAAATATCCATGTAAAAACACAGAGAACAGCATCAGCTTCCTCTGGAATCAGCCAAATTTTACAAGGCCTTTATTGCCTGTATTTTTTTCGGCCCCCCCCACCTCTCCCTGATTTCCCAGCCCGGTGTTTCCACAAGGGTTCAGGCTTCCCTGAGGTTTCCTGGTGCTCTGATGGGACCAACAAGAAATACTGCAAATTAATTGTGTTGTAATTGCCCAGTTCTGGAGTTGAATAAATCCACACGGATTTGGACACCTTTGGAACACTGTCCAGGTGGCTCCTCAGAGCACAAGTAGCTCCTGGGTAGAGGACGAGCTGGATCCGAGCTCCTGCACATCCAGCCTTAAAATTCCACAGGGTTTTTTCCCCCTGGCATTGCCAGGGCGACGATCACCTCACCCGTCTTGGCAGTGGGATGTTTTTCCAAGGCTCCCTTTCAACTCCAGAACTGCAACTGTTATTCGCTGGACATAAAAACCAAGCGCCTCTTAATTCCTGATTTTTCCGGGAATCGGGATGCTGCGCGTACGCTCCAGCCTCGCCAGCACTCGGAGCATCCCAGCGTGGCCTGGGATGGGGATGGAGCGTACGAGGTGCTCAGGGAACCTGGGCGCTCTGTGGCTCGGGAATGGCTCATGGAGCAGAGCTGGGGGCTGGCTGGGACACGGCCTGGCTACCAAAACCCGGCCGCGAGAGCCGCTGGCTCCAAGAATCCAACCCTTCCCAAAGAGCCATTCCCAAAGCCGCCCGGTGCCAGGCCCGAGCCAAGCCGAGATGAACAACAATCACTAATGAATGTCCTCTTCTCTCCCCTCTCTCCCTCCCTCCTCTCTCTGTCCTGTCGGTGTGGATTCCTTCCCTCCCCGTGCCCGCCTTGATCTCCTCCCTCGCCTTTCCCGTTCCCCCGGGGTGGGTTTGGCTCTCACGCCCCTCTCAGTCTGGGGTTACGGTTTCCTCTGCGTGTCCGTCATCTCCCTGTGCTCGCTGGTGGGAGCCAGCGTGGTGCCCTTCATGAAGAAGACCTTTTACAAGCGGCTGCTCCTCTACTTCATAGCTCTGGCGATTGGAACTCTCTACTCCAACGCCCTCTTCCAGCTCATTCCCGAGGTAGGGAGAGGACCGGGCGGGTCTGTGCTTTTCTCTCTCTCTCTCGGGGGCTGTTTCTGGCTGGAGAAGGGGAAGGCGGCGTCGGAGGGGAGCCCAGAGCGAGGTATGAAGGCTGGAAGCCCCTTGGAGCTGGAGTTTGGAAGGGAATCGCTCC